TTTTTAAATACATTTTAATTATTATAGTAATAATAACCTTGGTTTTACATTTTTTTGATGACATTATTTTGTGGTCGTAGGAAAAATATTGTACATCACTTGTGTGAAAAGTGATTTTCCACACTCGTGTGATAGTCGCACTCGGCTTGCGCCTCGTGCGACTATATTTCCCACTCGTGTGAAAAATGTCACTTTCCACACTCGTAATGTAATATACTATTTCTACACCCACATGTATATTATCTACTTTATGCACAAATTGCGGAATGAATATGTAGACCATATTATTCAGTTCAGTAGAACGGATATTATTTTATATCTATTCTAATAAGGATATGAAATCCACAGTTTATATTTAGTACTCGGCCGACTATTTTTTTTTAATGTATTTGTGACAAATTTTAATTGGTAAAGTTTCTTTTGTTAAAAATGAGTAATTCTAGTAACGAATCGATAAATAATGGCAATCCACAAGATTTGTTCATATTTTCAAAGAAAGAATTAAATGGATTTCGAGAAACTCTGATTTCCTCTAGAGGCAGATTTAAGCCCAGTTTTTTAAATACTAAAGAGACAACGGGTTTTGATGTTTTGGTTATTCGGGTGAACAGTAAAATAAATCTCTTGATAGAAGAAATACTTTCTGTGCCTATGGTTCTAGATCTAGATGATAGATAAATACCTATAAATGAAAAGTAACACAAAACATTTTCATAATTTATATCCAGTTTATTTAAAAATAGCGTAATGAAGAATCTTTTTGATTATTTTCACTATTAATTGAGTTTATTAAAAATAGTTGTTAAGCAACTAATACACTTCTATTTTTTAGTAACTTCAGCCCATAGACTATTTTACATTGTTTATTAATATCTAATCCCTGACATATTCTCGCAGACCTGGTAATTAAATTTAAAACATATTTTGACATTTAATTCATTTCGCATTGAGAAAGTTTCATTTGAATATCCATTTAAAATCATGAAAACATGTGTATATGACAATCTTTGTAGTGATCGTTTCACCTCGTTGATTACTCTAATAAAAAACAACATAGGTTTTGAATCTATCTTTAATTGTATACCGGATGGTAATTAGGTTATATATTTAGGCTAGGCTAACTATATACTTTAAAATAGAAGGCTACTTGATGAGCTCAGAGGATGCGCAATAGGTCTAAATGAGGGTTTAGGGTGGGTTTGATAGTGCATGGTTTGGTTACTAGCTTGAGTGTCTGAGTGCCTGGAACAAAATTACTTTGATCTGAGTTCCGGGACAGTGCCGTACCAGCAGTGGCGTAGCCAGGCTTTAGGGGCGGCGGGGGCAAGATATTAAAAAGGCGCAAAAACCCGTTTAGGTAGTTTCTCTTAAAACAATGGACATATATAGCTTATGGAGCAACCTGTTTTATTCTAGTCTGTATGCCTTTTATATGACCTGACATAGAACTGGCACAATTAGCCACGACATAATGCTATCGGGTTCTAAAGATTATATAGCTCGTTGGGAATGGCAGTATAAAATGAATCTGCGGATGCAGAGGACAAGCTTATACATTTCAGAAATCTTTCTTCAACAAAACCGTGTTCAATTACATTGCTCTTTTTTTTGATATGTCAATTGTCGCGCGGCGCCTGCATCGGCACGATTACTCTCCGTAGAGTAGCGCTGTAATAAACCTATTGCTGCCTATAAGTGGAAGAGCAATTCAGTGGTGAGTTTCATCACATGATTTGAACTTCGCCCTTTATTTCTCATTTTGCATAAAATGTAGCGAATTGATATATATGTAATTTTGTAAATATTCTGTATATTCAAAATGAAAATAATAAAGACATTTATTATTATTATTATTATTATTATTATTATTATTATTATAAATTATTAAAACTGATTACATTCAAATAAGACATCCAAACTTCCTTATTTGTTGTTGACATTTTGGTAATATTACTAATATTTTAGCAGTTGTCATTTTTTTTCTAAAGAGTTTAAAATTTTCAATCAAAAGGTGAATTGGCGTCATATGAGCGCCAATTATCCAGGGACGGAAGGGGCAATTGTCCCCTTGTCCCCTGTGGCTACGCCACTGCTTAGAAAAGTGGTATAAAGAGAGATTTTCAATTAGATTACTATACTGAAATATTAGATTACTCTATAATACTATTACATACATACCATAAACTCTAAAAACATATCGCCTTCTTTTTTTGAAAAGTCGTACATTTTTTATATTAAAAATACAACTCCCTGCGTGCGAAGCCGTGGGCGAGAGCTAGTTTTTTAATAAACATTATATCTTTCGAGAAAAACGGGTACAAATAAATCAATTTATATGAGAATGTTAATACAAAAATCACTTGAAACTTAAGTTTTGTTCATATTTAGATATTATTATTATTATTAGTTTTAATCATTGTGTTCTCATTTAAATCGATTTTATTAAAACTAATTTGCTATTTGTTAGATTAAAATGAGAAATGCATGGCCACTAAAGTTTTAAGTGATTTTTGCATTGTCATATGTATTAATTTAATTTTTCTCGTTTTTCTCGAAAATTATTGTTTATTAAAAATAAAAAGAGTAAACAAGTTTTAAAATAAAATTTTGCATAAAATGAAATTATTTCTCACTCACCCCCAAATTAAGATTCATGAAGCGCCTAAATAATTATAGATCTTTTTAAGTTAAAAGGTTACAGAAATATTAATTTTTTTGAAATTTTTGGCCCCACTTTAGGCTTCCGTAAATCTTTAGGGATACAACTTGGTATATAGGTAAATTGTGTTAAATCATCATCATGTTCTGTGTCAGTACTTATGCGGAACACCCTGTATATATATAATTTAGCAGATTTGGCCGAAAGCTATTTGCCATAAGGAACTGCGGGCCCTTTGTATCTATGTCACCAGGAAATATTCTAGGAACACCCATGATAATGGGTAAATTAGAACCGCTATTCACATTAAACGCCCTGTATAATAGTCTATGGTCACTTATTTACCCCTTGATTTTAAAATATCGACTGATCCACAAAAAGTCGATCATGACCGATAAAGACAGTTATAGAATCACGTCTGTGATAATTACGATCGCCTCTATAATAAATTCAAACTCTGATTTATAAAAGAAAAATGATACGTTGCGACATACTCGTACGTGAATTTTTTATTTGGTACTGATAAAATTAATTTAGGTTTATTAAAATGACGTCCACCGAATAATATGTTCAAGTTCGAGTTATTATAAAATCAACCAAAAAAGAAAAAAAGAAGGAATTTCGTTTGTTTATTTAATAGTCTCGTTAATTTAGAAACCTGCAGGTAATCATAAACAAAGCATGATTTATAAAATCAATAATTATTCATACTTCAATAATTACTAAACCAATGAATAAATTATCGATTATTCCTATGAGGAATTCAAACAAAATTACGCTACAATTGCTTTGGAATACTGCCAGACCTTAATGTATACCCCGATCACGATCAAAATCCAACTTTGTTGTTGGTGTTGGTACACACTTTTAATTGTTGTTCTACATAATTATCAATTATGCATTCACAACGTATGGAATTGCATAACGAAAGCAAGCCAATCGGCAATCTTTCTTAACAGTTCTATTTATTTCAATAAACGGTTTTGCTATTGTTTAAAGTAGAGCAAACATATATGTAGAGGATGATTTAACTATGGTTCGTTTAACACATTTACGAAAATAAATCGTGTTTTTCGAGCTAAAATAAACAAATTAACAACCACTTTTCATGCGTAATAGAATTAACAAAAGTGAAGTTAATGGGACACTCAAACAAGGGTTGATTTTTCTAATGTTTTTGATGAAAAGGCTTGTAAATCCTCTATCTAAAGGATGATAGAAGCGAAAATATATTGTGGGAGAGGAAGAGAAAGCCAAGTAAACCTGTGCAAATCAATTGCAAAAATTAGAATTATGTAGTTAGTGATCGGACAAAGCTGAAAGAATTTGTCGAGGAATAATTATAAAAGGCCATAAGGAAATACGAAAAGAAATATTATAATTCAAGTAAATAGTAGAAGTAAAGGCGTCTTAAATGTACCTAATGTTTAAATCACTCTGTATATTTCTACAGGCGTGAACTTCAGAAGGTGAACAAGATATTATTCCGTTTAATGCTAATGCGTTAACAAAGATATATTAAATTTAATTATTTTAATCTAGTTTATCTTATCGGTTTGACTTTAACTTCTTATGACAAGACATTAAAATGCAATAAACAATGTACATTTGCAGAGAAACATTTTTCTTGATTGCTTTTTTTATACTTCACGTGAACTTAGAAAACGTGACTATTTAAAAATGTAAACTATGATAGGTAAAGAAATTTAGAAGAAAAATATTGGTTTAGATTTTTGGAATTAAGTTTAACATTTATTTCTGCACATACCCTCACCAGACAATGTTCTGTTTTATCTATGGACCACAATAAAAAACTGATTAAACCACAAGAAACTTAATTTGGTTTTATGCCTTAAATATACATAATTTTTTAATAATTTATTTCTCAATTTTCTTTATTTGTTATCAGTAATAAAAACTTCTTTCAAAGGAAAAATTTCCTATTCCTCTTATATTCACAATTAGAATAAGATTAAAAACAATAATGGCAAACTTTTATATTTAGTTTAGGTTTTGAATTGGTAGTTAAAGAGGATGATGTTTACTATCCTGTCTCCCATATTATAATTTAAACTATGTACCTAACACAGAGGTTATTCAACATCCAATATCCAGAATTAAAATGTATAAACGCCATTTTTCATAAAAGTAAATAAAACAAATTTAAAAAACTGTTTTTAGTGGAGTTCCCTAAGGTCGCACTCAGACCTCCACCTATTCACCTTGACACATTAACGATATAATGGAGATCACGCACGCTCTACTATACAGTTTTTAATGGCATTAACGAAATGGCGAGAAATAGTGTTAATTCGATCAATTTGTTCATTCATTAACTTACCAAGGTCGTGATTGTCGACGTGAAATGTGTGCCTAATTTCGTCCAAACTCATTTGCTTATGGATCTGTAAGAAATTTATACAAATTAGCATTTAAATTTACAGTAAAAATGATGGTAATGTATAATAATTTAAGAAGACTGCATATTAAGTAATTCTGAATCAGGTCACTACATACATGCATCAATATAAAAGTTTAGAAACAACAATCATTTTGATATGACTTTTCCGTGGTTGAAATTAAACTATTATTTTCTACGTAATCTTCTAAATAGCGCCATTAAATCATTATCTTATTTTCTTTGTAATACAAATTGCAATCGACTTTAGATGTTTTCAGTGTCTGTAGTGACTCAACCGTATCAGTTTCTTTCCTTGACCTGACCTAGACATCCTTGATGATCTTACTTTGTTGTTAGTTCTTACTTCCTTATTTATTTTCTTAAAAACCGTGAAAATTAAAAAGTTATATAAAGGGTGATCCATTCGTGTCAAAAATTCGAATATCTCCAGCACTAGTAGAGATATGAAATAAATATGTTTACAGAACATTTGGCAGCATTAAACTCAATATTTTAAATTATTTTCGAATGTATTGAGCCCTAAACAAACTCATGTTTTTTAAACGGATCACACTGTATTTTATTTTATATTTGACTTATCCTCACTTTCATAACCATACCAAATAGTATGGGGATACAGAGAACCAATTTTATAATAAAATCCTATTGATTTCAATGACTTTGAATATTTCAAAAGAAACAATTGAAAACCAATTTTTTGTGGTAACAATTTTTCGATGTTAGTCAAATTTTAACCTACTCACAATTTTTATCAATTCTTAATAAAAGTGTACAGTGTGAGGCAATTTCAAATAGATACAATATTTTTATATTTTTTAATCGGCCATATTTGATATCACCATTTAAAAGTAGGTACCCTTATTATATTTTCATTTGAATTAAACATTCTCTATTTCTAAAGTTAATAGTTGCGAGTTGAGAGTTGGGAGTTGGGAAATGGGAGATTTTTGTTTATAAATACAAAAAAAACATAAATCATAAAAAATAAATTTTAACAGGTCACCAGTTTTAATTTATTATTGAATAAATAAGTTGTTAATATCTAATGCGACTTTTATATAAAGTAAAAAATAATTACCGATAGCAACCACAAGCTCCTCCTATTTTATTATAAGATTATTAAGTGTTATTTTTGAAGATTTTATATAATTATAAAAATAGCTCATTGGCCTCCTATAATATTTATGAAGGCATAAAGATAGTTATGAAAAGTCATATTTCTAAGCAGTAACACTTTGGAACTTCATATTGAAAAACTAATGATACTTTTTTATAAACAAATTTTGCTATAAATAATTTAGAACTATAGTATACTTTTCATAGTTTAACAGACCCTCCTATTTTTCGTTTTTGATTTTTTTAATATTTCTCCCTTCAATTTTTATTCAGATTTTTTCAAAATCAATACTTGTAAGAGTATTATTATGCGAAAGCCGTCTCTGTTCCTTGTTTACTCCTTGCCCGCAGAATGAAGTTTAGCGATGGTCATATACAGACAAACGCACCGCTTTGAGAAACTACCGGAGTGTTTCCTTTACGGCGTATGAGTCATAGAGAGGTAGTTCTCGTTCGTTGTCGAATGCCAACAGTATTATAGTACAGAGCTGGCTTTATATAAATAGCACGAGTTTGTCGACGGACAGGAGGTTTCAAATGAAGTGTTGGACTGAAAAGATAAATTGTTATAAATAAATTAGACTTGTGAGTGTCTAAGTATTTTATAAATTAATTAGTACGTTATAAATAAATTGTAAATAGTGTTTTAAATAAGTAAAATACAAATTAAATAAACAAACGTTACAGTATTGTAAACTTCAACAAAAAAAATTCAAATTTGAAGACGTTCGACAGCCCTTTTAGCAGTGGTCTAGCCATCTCTATTCTCTCTCATCTAGGACCTTCAAAAAAATGATATATAAATTTTCAGTCGGAGGTACTATCGTTTTTTAGCTCATATTCTTACAATTTTGAGTTGTCTGGCGTCTCGTTTGCAGGAGTTTTAAAGTAAATCCTTGCAGATGACACTTCCTGAAGGTCCCGCCAATGGCATCACAAAATTCCAGCCGGAGTTACACTCGTAAAACCTTGTGGCCGCTAGCTTACAATCTATTAGCGACAAGGGTCTAAAAATTACAATCTAAAGGTTTTAGAACCCTACCGATTAATAATTCTTTTTTCTACGACCACTTAGGAAAGTGACACATATCACACTATAGTCCTATGGAAAGTGCCCTATATCACACGCGTATGAATAAGAATTTACTTTCCACCCGTGTACGAATATGCTACTTTCCGCAGTAGCTGTCAAACACATAATTTCTATTTTGATCTATGTAATATTAATACTAAAATCGATATGATTGTTAAATTATTGAAATTGTTGTAAATTAGATCCTAGATATTTATCTTTAACAATTATTATTAAAATAATTTTAAAATAACTATATATATTTGCTCTTTATTCTGGTTAAATACATAACGGATTAGATCATTCAATTGACGTAAGGGCTATTAACTCAGATGGTTAGAACGTCGAACTTATCAATTTTGCCATTTGAGACCTGGCGAGCGACCGCGTTCAAATCCTGGCGGGGCCAGAATTTTTTTTTAGTTTTTTTTTTGTTTAGAAAATATGAAAATTGAATAAATACGATTATTGTTGATTATTGTTTTAAATACATTTAATAATAATAATAATAATAATAATAATAATAATAATAATAATAATAATAATAATAATAATAATAATAATAATAATAATAATAATAATAATAATAATAATAATAATAATAATAATAATAATAATAATAATAATAATAATAATAATAATAATAATAATAATAATAATAATAATAATAATAATAATAATAATAATAATAATAATAATAATAATAATAATAATAATAATAATAATAATAATAATAATAATAATAATAATAATAATAATAATAATAATAATAATAATAATAATAATAATAATAATAATAATAATAATAATAATAATAATAATAATAATAATAATAATAATAATAATAATAATAATAATAATAATAATAATAATAATAATAATAATAATAATAATAATAATAATAATAATAATAATAATAATAATAATAATAATAATAATAATAATAATAATAATAATAATAATAATAATAATAATAATAATAATAATAATAATAATAATAATAATAATAATAATAATAATAATAATAATAATAATAATAATAATAATAATAATAATAATAATAATAATAATAATAATAATAATAATAATAATAATAATAATAATAATAATAATAATAATAATAATAATAATAATAATAATAATAATAATAATAATAATAATAATAATAATAATAATAATAATAATAATAATAATAATAATAATAATAATAATAATAATAATAATAATAATAATAATAATAATAATAATAATAATAATAATAATAATAATAATAATAATAATAATAATAATAATAATAATAATAATAATAATAATAATAATAATAATAATAATAATAATAATAATAATAATAATAATAATAATAATAATAATAATAATAATAATAATAATAATAATAATAATAATAATAATAATAATAATAATAATAATAATAATAATAATAATAATAATAATAATAATAATAATAATAATAATAATAATAATAATAATAATAATAATAATAATAATAATAATAATAATAATAATAATAATAATAATAATAATAATAATAATAATAATAATAATAATAATAATAATAATAATAATAATAATAATAATAATAATAATAATAATAATAATAATAATAATAATAATAATAATAATAATAATAATAATAATAATAATAATAATAATAATAATAATAATAATAATAATAATAATAATAATAATAATAATAATAATAATAATAATAATAATAATAATAATAATAATAATAATAATAATAATAATAATAATAATAATAATAATAATAATAATAATAATAATAATAATAATAATAATAATAATAATAATAATAATAATAATAATAATAATAATAATAATAATAATAATAATAATAATAATAATAATAATAATAATAATAATAATAATAATAATAATAATAATAATAATAATAATAATAATAATAATAATAATAATAATAATAATAATAATAATAATAATAATAATAATAATAATAATAATAATAATAATAATAATAATAATAATAATAATAATAATAATAATAATAATAATAATAATAATAATAATAATAATAATAATAATAATAATAATAATAATAATAATAATAATAATAATAATAATAATAATAATAATAATAATAATAATAATAATAATAATAATAATAATAATAATAATAATAATAATAATAATAATAATAATAATAATAATAATAATAATAATAATAATAATAATAATAATAATAATAATAATAATAATAATAATAATAATAATAATAATAATAATAATAATAATAATAATAATAATAATAATAATAATAATAATAATAATAATAATAATAATAATAATAATAATAATAATAATAATAATAATAATAATAATAATAATAATAATAATAATAATAATAATAATAATAATAATAATAATAATAATAATAATAATAATAATAATAATAATAATAATAATAATAATAATAATAATAATAATAATAATAATAATAATAATAATAATAATAATAATAATAATAATAATAATAATAATAATAATAATAATAATAATAATAATAATAATAATAATAATAATAATAATAATAATAATAATAATAATAATAATAATAATAATAATAATAATAATAATAATAATAATAATAATAATAATAATAATAATAATAATAATAATAATAATAATAATAATAATAATAATAATAATAATAATAATAATAATAATAATAATAATAATAATAATAATAATAATAATAATAATAATAATAATAATAATAATAATAATAATAATAATAA